TGCGGACCTGGGCTAGGACTGGGTCTGGGGGTTCCCGGAAGTCGGCAGCAATTCCTGAGCTAGGACTGGGTCTGGGGGTTCCCGGAAGTCGGCAGAAATTCCTACTTCAGTTTTATATTATTTTAAATTAGAGAAAAACAAAATTGCTGTGACATAAGTGGGTATTAATGGGCTTAGAAGTTCAGAACAAAAATATGGAAGGTAATAATTAGTCTTCTTAGGTAATACATTAAATTATTGTTTAGTCACAATTGGCTCTTAAGGTCTAAAGAATTATTTCTAAAATTTTATAAGTAAATAGGCATTTCTGTAGCTCTAAAATTACTCAACCAGCTCCTTATACATGCATACTCCCCAGGAAATACAATTAACACCTTGTTATTTACCCAAAATAGGGAAGAACAGATAGTCAACATTTTCATTATTGAGTATAGTTTTTTGTTGTTTTGTCTTGAGACAGGGTCTCACTGTGTAGTTCAAGCAGGCCTTAAACTGTGTACCCTGGCTGCCCTTGGGCTCATGGCACTCCTTCTGTCTCAGCCTCCCAAGTTCTGAGATTGCAAGTGTACACCGTAACCCCGGGCTAAGTATGGTTATTTTTAGTAGGAAAATTTCTGGTTTTGTCACGGGTTGCTTTTGAAATGTTTTCCCATTTTCTTTTTCTTTTCTTCTTCTTCTTTTTGTGTGTGTGTGTGTGTGTGTGTGTGTATAACCAGGGTTGAACTCGGGCCCTTGTGCTTGCCAGGGAAGCGCTTATTCCACTGAGCCATCTCCCTGGCTCCTGTTTTCCCATTTTCTGGGAAAAAAAAAACAAACCCAAACTGATTTTGGAGATTTGCAGCATAAAAATGGAGAGATAAATTTAAGATTAAAAAGTTTGAGCCAGGTATGGTAGTACACACCGGTAATCCTAGCACTTGGGAACCTGAGACAGAAGGAGTGCCATGAGCCCAATGGCAGCGTGAACTACATTGCGAGTTCAAGGCCAGCCTAAACAGCATTAGTCAGACTCTGTCTCAGAAAAAAGGAAAAAATTAAGTTTGTCATAAAAATGCTCATAAGGATAAAATAATCAAGTACTTGTTCTGTATGTGTAAAAAAATATTCTTTAGCAATTAGTTAAGTTTTATTTTTTCAACAGTAACAGCATACCAACTTTAGCTACTTTTAGTTACTTTTTCCTGTAAGTCATAACTAAAACATGAGGCAGAGAGGAGAGCCAACACAAGAGAATTTATTTCCCCAGTGGTGGAGATCAGACCCAGGGCCTTGTGCGTGCCAGGCAAACATTCTACCAAACAAGCTATATCTCCAGACATTTTATATCTGAAGCATTTAATGTGTGCATTAAAAAGCTCTAATTCTCCAACTCTCTTCTTCTAGCAATGCATGGTTGTTTAGAAGCAGTAAAAGTGCTTCTTACAAGGTAAGAACAAAACAGTAAATTGGGGGAAAGTAATGTGTTCATTATAATGAGGTAATATGTGTCATATGAAGGACTCAAACATTCAGGAAAAAAAAGTTCCAAAAGAAAACAAAGAATATAAGCAGACAATTCAAAGAATAGAGAGCCAATATAGTTATGAAACATGACAAAACTTCAATGACAAAATTGTCTATTGTATTCAACAAATATGTATATATTCATTCCATAGTTAATATAAACTACTCTCTGGAAGCTAGGGATGTAACACTATTAGAGCATTTGCCTAGCATGTGTAATGCCCTGGTTTCAATCCACAGTACAATCAATCAAGCAACAAAGCAAGATTTTAAAGGATGGCTTTCAGGATAGTACTGCTAGTAGCACTTGAAAGAATTAAAACTGGAAAATAAGCAGCTCTGGGAAAAAGATGGTAATTGCATTTTTGGCTCTGTGCCTGTCAGATATGCTAGTAAGGCAGTTAGACACATAGATGGGCAAAGACACAAATGTGAGGCTTGCAAACATAGTGCTGACAATTGAGATTAGAAAAATATGAGATGATCTAAGGAAGTAATGTATCACTTGAAAAGAGCATCCAACACTGTCCTGAAAAAAATTCCTGTGTAGAGCACTTGCCTGCCACAAATGGGAGCATACTTGGGTGTCTTCAAGTTTATAAATACTTTTCTTTCATTGAAGAAACAACTTTTTTGAATGCCTTCATAGGTCAGGCTCTGGGTGATAAAATATGCATAATCCTTCCTCTAGTGGAGCCTATAACCTAATGTCTTAGTTACTTTTCTCATTGCTGAGACAAAATACAATAGTACCACAGTTTTCTGCAAAAAAAAATGGAAAGAATTGAGTTGGTGAACCAAGGTACCACTTACCTGATAACTCAAAGTTAAAGAAGAGAAAGTTTGTTTTGGCTCACACTTTTTAGAGCTTTCGGTCCATAGTCAGTTGGTTCTAAGACAGGGTGGTACTGCAGAGAGGAAATGCAGAAGAGAAACAGTCCATGGCAAAGCAGGGAAGAGGCAGTGAAGCAGAAAACAGCAGCAAAGCTTGCCTTACCTCTCCCTTTATGTTCCTTCCAGGCTGTAGGCCTACTGATTAGTGCCATCCACACCCAGAGCTATGCTAAACCCATTTAGTTGTCACAAACCCTTAATCCTAGGATCATACACCTTTTAGAGACTGCCCAAACTGCTCGTAACATTGCTTGGCATCACCCTCCTTTCCGACTGTGTGCGTGGTCCCTGTGTGCACTGTTATGCTCAGCTGCTGGACTAATGTGGCTGGGGTAACTTGGCTCATGTGCTAACAGAAGGCTCTGCATGCTTGCTCATGTTATAGATTGACTAGATCCAGCCACTTCCAAAAAGCCCCACCTATGGGCACATGAGGCTTTGGAGGACATCTAGATATAAGCCTAAACACCTAGTGTGGAAGACAGATACAGATAAATAATTTTCAAATAAGTATTGAACCACCAGTTGTAATACTACAAAGGAAAAGTACAGAATGGTGAGAGAGACCAAAGGTATTCATGTGGGTTAGGGGTTGGTAAGGAAAGGCCTCTGCTGAGTTTTGGTGTACAGTGACACTTGGGTAAGTTGGAGTTGACCAAGGGAAGAGTGAGCAGTCAAGTTCCAAGCAGGTACCAAGGCAGAACAGGGCTCAGCAACCAAAGGATCAGGAAGCAGGGGTTGCAGGGAACATGGTACCCGGAGAAACCTGAGCAGGCACCGTGTGACCTGGCCCTTGGAATGATGCTATATCATGAGATTTTTGTCACAAAGGAACACGTAGGCAGTGTCATTTCAGCCAGTCAGTTCTTGGTCAGGCAGGATACACTCATACCTATGTTTGTTTTTTATCAACTGTCTTTTGCATACTTTTTTATTCAGAAAGTTGTATTCACTTTTGATGTTTATTTTAGGTGAAACCTTTTTTTGGGAGGGTGGGGTACTGGGAATTGACATCAGGGCCTTGCATTTGACAGGTAGGCACTGTGTTGCTGAGCTGTATCCCTGAACCTCTAGTGAAATCTAATAAGTTCTGGTTTTTTCTTTTAGTAATTTGTTTATTGTATTTGTAAAAACATAATTTTGTGGAACAATCTATAAAAACTTACTGTAAATACATTAGATATAATTTTTAATCATTGACCCTGGTACTGCATGCCATGCCGGCCCTGACACCCCAGGTGCACCATGCCAACCCGCACACCTGTAATCCCAGGACTGGGGAGGCTGAAACAGCAGAATCACTCTGAGTCTGAACTGCATAGTGAGACCCTGTATCCAATCAATTAATCAGTCAGTCAGTAAATTTAGGGAAAACAAAATGATACTCCATACACAGAAAAATTATAGAATAAATGTAATAAAATTGTTTTTATACTATTATAAAAATTTAAGATTGTGATCGTCATATATTTAAGTAATTGGACTGGTAAGTGGTTAAATGTTTTGAACAGGAGTGGATTTATCCATTAACATTGGAGAAAGGACTGGTTGCTATGGAAGATACTAGAGCCAGGCAGGAGCCAAGGAGAACATTAGAGAGCTGTTTCCAGTTGGTCTTAAGGGGTAAAAGCAGAGATGGAGGGAAAGATACAGATGTTTTGTGTGGCTTGGCTGTAGAATTGAGAGACTTGGATGATGAGAGATAAGGGAAAAGCAATTACAAGGGCCATTTACCTTCTGGCTTGAGGAACTGGAGAGGTAAAAGTGCCATCAGATGGGAGAGAGGAGGGGCTCCTAAAGACCAAGAGCTCAGTGTAGATACTGAGGTGGGACCAGGAGAGAGCTCCAGACTGCCTCAGATCATCTGTAAGGTGTACAGTCTACCTGGGGTGATCAAGGGTCAACTGTCCCTTGAGTTTGAAGTGCAAATTCACAACTGCCTACTTTTGGTTTTGGCTCTAGGTGCCAGTATGAACCAGACTGCAAAGACAGCTGTGGTGTTACCCCCTTTATGGACGCAGTTCAGTGCGGTCACATCGATGTAGCCAGGCTGCTCCTCCAAACACATAAGGTATGAAAATGGTTTTATTTTATTCCTTTGGTTCTTCCTATAAGTTTTAGATCACAGGATAAACAAAAATACATTATTCAAATCCTCCTTTCAAATCCCAACTCTGGGGCTGGGAAGATAGCTCGGTAGAATAAATGCTTGCCTGGGCAAGTGCAGGGTCCTGAGCTCAATCCCTGGTACCGCAAAAAGAAGAACAAATCCCAACTCTGCCAAATTTCCCCAGGGCAGCCTCCTGACTTTTTTAAACATCAATGTGTGTCAGTGGTCCCATCTTTAAAATAAGACAAATAATATAATGTACATACAGTGGCTAGCACATTAAGCGTTCAATAAATGGCACTTTGATAATGATAGCAACACCCTGCTCATGATAGCAGCTTTGGCATTATAGCCTGGCACATTGACTCTGAATTACATTTTTAGCTACAACTCTTTGAAAATCAGACAAAAGCTCTGTCCTTTGCCCAGAGAAATGTATATAGATAGCAAAGTTTTACCAAAATGTCAGCGGTGGATGGATCCAGGCGTGTGCTTCATCCCTTCTTTCTTCCTCTCTTTCTGCTAGGTTTGCTGCTCAGCTGAGGATAGCCTGGGAGCCCAGGCTCTGCACAGGGCAGCGGTCACTGGGCAGAATGAAGCCATCCATTTTTTGGTGTCCGACCTTGGCATCAATGTAGACGTGCGAGCAACAGCAGCCCGCTTCACGGCACTTCACTATGCAGCCAAGGTTTGCCTTTTCCTAGTAAGCTCTTGCTTACTAGGTGTGCTTTGTGCCATTGGTAGATGGCTCTGTGGTCCCGATTCTTTAGCTCCATCTCTATGGAAGAAAATTGCCCGTAATCCTGAATAGGTCATGAGTCTAAGAAGTCCTGTGTCCCTTTCAATGGAAGCTTGACTTTGTTTCTATACAAAAACTGAAAAAAAAAAATTTATTATTCCACGAAACACTTGACCCTTATGCCCCTTCCTAACATTTTGATTTTCAGAAATAACATTACTTGAAGTCATAAAGATCCATTGTATGAAGTTCCTAGCTCTCTATCCTTACACTCGATTTCAGAATTTAAGATCTAGGGGCCAGGGAATAGCTCAGTGGATTAAGTGCTTCCCTGGCAAGCACAAGGGCCTGAGTTCAATCCCTGGTTCTGCAAAAAAAAAAAAAAAAAAAAAGAATTTAAGATCTGTTTAATTGCGGCAAGAGAATGAAGATATACACAGCTTTTTAACTAGACAAGGATCCTTTTTAATAGGTAGGAGTCTTACGTACATCTCCACATTATTAGTAGCCTCATGTCTTACTTTTCTAGAAGCAGGAACAATTTTTTTTTCCTTGCTCTTTTTTTTCTGTACTGTTCATCTAATTTTCCTGTTGTGAGCAAGTGAAGAGGTAGGTAGCAATGGAGTGAGTGTCTCGTCCATGGCCACGGGGAGAAAAGCTTGTGTTTCCTGCATGACAGGATTGAGCCTGGATTTTGTTCTCTCTACATACTACGAGACTAACTAGCTAGAACTTGTTATATATAATGTTGCCTGTGGTTATCTTTTTTAAAATTATTTTATTTATCTATTTGTTTGGTACAGGGTCTTGCTACACAGCTTGGCCTCATAGTGATCCTCCTGTCTCAGCCTCCCCAGTGCTGAGATTACAGGTGTGCACCACCATGCCCAGTTTCGGGCACACCCAGGGTTCCAGTGTGTGGCATATGGTACTAGGGATCAAACGCAGGTCCTTGTGCTTGCCAGACAGGCACTTAGGCTGCCAAGCTATCTTTCCAGCCCCTGTGATTATGTTTTTTGAGGGGTTGCAGTCTTTTTCCAATTTATTGCTATCCTAAAGATTTTATCAGAGTATATTTGCTTGAGAATTTTTTGCACAAGATTTATACTGTGTATACTGATAGAAACCCAATTGTATTAGGTCAGTGATGTGCCCTATAAAGTTGATAATCTGTATCTTAATAATGAAATGTTACCAAAATATGTATTTAATGAATTGTAGCAGAACTGAAAATGGTATAATAGTATTTCTTTTTTTTTTTAACCTTTCTTTAAGATAAGAAAATTCAGTTTTAAGGAGTTCACTGTTACAAACAAACAAACAAAAAAAAAGTAATATGAGTTTGTGTTTAAAGGTTTGCTTTTGTCCTTATCACATTGGTAATTAATTTATCTCAACATGCAGGAAGGACATACAAGCACAATACAGACTCTCTTATCTTTGGGTGCTGACATCAATGCTAAAGATGACAGAAATCGATCAGGTATTGACGATAAAGAATACATGTTCCTTTTTTTATTGTTGTTGTTGTTCCAGGGATCAAACTCACAACCTTGCGCTTGCCAGGCAGGTGCTTAAGCCTCTGAGCTATCTCCCTGACCCTACATGTTCTCTTGCACCATAAACATTGGCTTGGAGCTAAGGTATAGCTCAGCGGTATAGCGCTTACCTAACATGTGCAAGGCAGTGGAGCTCCGTCCCCATCACTACAGACAAAACAACAGAAAAGTTTAGTTGTAAATATTTTTCCAGTGGCCTTTTCCCTAAAGTAAGTCTTCCACTGTGTGCTGTAACAGCAATGATGGCTGCGGCTCGTTACCACCAGCCTCGCTGCTGCTGTTATTTTGAACCGTAGCAGTGCCCAGTGTATGCGGTATAAAAGCAGACCTTGAAGATGCCTGCTGTAAGATATTGTATAGATTTAGGCCTCAGAAATATACTCTTAGAGGGTTAATTGTTCATTTTAGGGTTTTCTTTTGCTTTTTTGAGTTTTGGAAGGGGTTGGTTTATATTTTTGTTTTTTATGATTGGGATCAGCATAAGGGCCTTGTGCATGCTGGGCATACATACACTGTCCCACTGAGCTATACTCTCAACCCTGCTCAGAGTTAATTCTGTGGACTTGGATTTCTTTTGAGCTTTATTTATTAGTGTATATTTGTCATGCATATGGATCACATTCATCTTAGGAATGTGTACTTGGACATAACACATCTCATTTTTTCCCATTGCCCTCCCCTGCCTTCAGTCCTTCTTCCCCTCCCCATTCACACAAGTTTTGTTTCCATTTTTTTCCCTTTCATTCTCCTTTTGGCTTTTCCATTCATCCTTCTTTCTTTCTCCTGTTCCCCTTCCCATTTGAACATTTTCTTCCTACTTCCCAATATCTGTTCTCCGTCGTGCCCCTCATTCACCCTTTGCTCATACAAAGGAAACAATGCAATATTTAAACTTGCATATCTGATTCATTTCACTTAAAATAATGGTCTTGAGGCCAGCCAGATAGCTCAGCAGATTAACGCACCTTCTTAGGCAGACGCAGGGGTCAGGGGTTCGATCCCCTGCCCCTGGGGTGACCGTGATTGAGACTGGGCAAGGTGGCCTGTAATCCCAATGCTTGGGAGGCTGAAAAACAAGAGGATCACTACCAGTCAAATCTGTGTAGTGAGACCCTGTAGACCCTGTACTAAATACATAAAAAAATAATAATAATAATGGTCTTGAAGTATATGCATTTTCCTACAAATGATTCAAATCTATTCTTTATGGCAGAGTGCTATTCCATTGTATATAAACAATACGTTTTCTTTATCTATTCATTGGTTGATGAGCATATGGGCTGTTTCCAAACTGTAGTTTCTACAAATTGTGTAGCTATAAATATGTGTGTACATATATCACTTTGGTATGATGCCTTTAACTTTCTTGGAAAGATGCCTAGAAGGGGAATGGCTTAATCAAATGAAACCTCTAATTCTAGTTTTTTGAGGAATACCCATACTGACTTGTACAGTAATTGTACCAGTTTACACTCCCACCAGCAATGGAGCAGGGTTCCTTTTTCCCCACAGCCTCACCAGCATTCATTGCTGCTTCATTTCTTGATGACAGCTATTCTTCCTGAAGTGAGATAGAATCTCAGTGTTTTCATTTCCACTTTTCAAATGACCAGCGTTATTGAGCATTTTTTCATATGTTTATTTGCCATTTATTTGTACTTTTTGATATGAGAAGCTTCTGTTCTTTTGATATCTATTTTTGGATTGGGCCTTTATATTTGGAAGGCTGGAATTTTTGGTTTTGTTTTCTCGTTTGTTTAGTTCTTTATGTATTCTAGATGTTAATCATTTGTCTGAAGAGTGTCTGGTAAAACTTTTTTTCTCATTTTGTGGGTTGTGTCTTCACTCTTGTTTCTGTTGCTGTGTAGAAGCTTTTAATTTGATGTGACATTAGCTGTTGAGCCTTTGTGGTATCTCCTCCGCAGTCGGGGTTTTGTTCACAAAGTCTTTGCCTATACCTATGCATGAGAGTTTTACCTGTTCTATTTTAGAGCAGAATATTTCTGTTTTAATATGTAGAGTAGTTTAGTACATAGTGGGAGATACGGGTCTAAGTTCAATTTTTGGCATGCGGAAAGGCAGTTTTCCCAGTACTGTTTATTAAAGAAGCTGTCTTTCTTTCAGTGAAGGTGTTCAACCTGTCAGAGATGTAAGGTAGCCAAGTTGCTTGGCATTGTTTCTGCATCTTCTGTTCTGTTCCATTGATCTTCAGGTCTGTTTCTTTGCTAGTACCATGCTGGGTTTATCACAGTAGCTTTGTGGTCTAACTTCAAATTGGGGATTATGGTATCCCTGCCTTGCCCTTATTGCCCAGAATTTTTTTTTTTTCCTATTCTATGTCTCTTCTCGTTCCATACAAATTTTAGGCTTGTTTTCTCTAGTTCTGTGAGGTACACTGTTTGTATTTTGATTGGGATTGCATTAAATCTGTGTAGCAGTTTCGGAATTCTGGCCATTTTCACCATGTTGGTTCTGCCCAACAAAGAACAGGGGATATATTTCCATTTTCAGATATTCTCTTTGATCTTCTGTTTCAGAATTCTGTAGCTTTCAATGCATAGGTCTTTTACTTCCTTTATTAGCTTGATTCCTAAGTATTTAATTAGGTTGGTTTTTTTTGTGTGTGTGTGCGAAACCAGGGATTGAACTCAGGCCCTTGTGCTTGCCAGGCAAGTGCTTATTCTACTGAGCTATCTCTCTGGCCCGTATCTCATTATTCTTGATGAAAATTCATTAAGTCTTTTTGGCAGGGGGAAGTTGTTTGTTTGGTTCTGGTTTTGGTTTTTTGAAACAGGGTTTCACTTTGTAGTTCAGACTGGCTGTGAACTCACTATGTAGTCCAGGCTGGCCTCATACTTGTGGCGGTCCTCCTGCTATAACCTCCTGAGTGCTGGAATTGCAAGCATGTGCCACCATACCCAGCCTCTTGATATAATTGTGAAAGATGTTACTTTCCTAATGTCTCTGTGAGTGAGTGTGTTATTTGTATTGTGTGTTATTTTTTTCCCATTGACTTGAGTGTTGAGTGTGATCCTACTATGCTGCTGCGTTTGGTTTTTAAATTGGAGAGTCTTTTGATGGGATTTTTGGGGTCTTCTATGTAGAGTATCAGGTCATCCACAAATAATGATAATTTAATTTCTTTTCCAATCCATGTTCCCTTTATTTCTTTTTCTTGCCTAATTGCTCTGGCTGATTTTTCCAGAATTATATTGAACAGGAGTGGTGATAATGGACATCCTTGTCTTTTTTTTTTTCCAAAGTTTTATTGATAAACGGATAGCAATGAGACAGTTTCAAATCAAATCGGAAGTACAGTTTCAACAAATAATACACTGCATATATTCTTCTTAGTGGTTAATTGCTGTACAAGATACGGACTTGTGATCCTATTTACAAACACCATTAGAACAAATCCTTCTATTCATTAAGAGAATGCAACTATATATTTATCCCAACCACTTTGAATACACAGATACAAAATGGACATTCATCGGTATACCCGATTTTTTCTAAGTTCCGTTATTGAATATTATAGGTG